TGTGTGTGTGTGTGTGTGTGCGCGCCGCGCGTGTGTGTGTGTGTGTGTGTGTGTGTGTGTGTGTGTGTGTGTGAAATGGTCAGCAATAATATTTGAGGAGGGAGCAGGTATCCTGCAGTCCCTTTGGGAAAAAGTTCAGTTTTCCGCACTTGAATCCCTTCTTTGTGCTCTGGAAGCCTTGGAATGCTTGGGAATGTTAATTTTTCTCTCTCTCTCGCTCTCTCCTCACAGAGGCAAGGCAGTCATCCCAGAAGAGAGAATACTGTATATAAATAACACTTCTTTCTTTTAGACACCTTCATATTTTTGCCACACAAAATGTCTCAGATTAATTATAGTATTCCATATCCTTCTGCAGTAGGATTGGAAAGAAAGATTCAGATCTTAACTTCTGTTCTATAAGATCATCACATGTTTTGAACCAATCAGCCTTGTTTTCAGCTTTGTGACAATATATTCCAGCGAATCCAAGAGGATTTTTTATTGGTTTATTCATCTTAAGAAATAGGATAATATTCTCAACCCATAAAGCAATATTCAAACATTCAAAATCGAGATGATCAATTCTGACATACGTGTTTCTCACTGGACAAAAAGTGAATGAAAAATTGTAAACTGAAAGGTAACTAGTAACTAAAGCTTTCAGACAAATAGTGTAGTAAAAAAAAGTGCAATATTTGGATGACAGAGCTGTATAAATAGCATAAAAGTACATACCGTACATACACTATCTTGAATTTGTACGTGAGTAAATGTATGTAGTTACATTCCACCAGACATTTAGTTGTGTCAGACATTGACACAATGGTTTCAAGCAGAGGTAAAGACTCACATACAACCCAAAGGCTTTGTAAGAAAACTGCCACCCTCTTTTTAAACATTTTTTGAACTTTGAACATTATTGTGAAATTCCTCATTGAGATACTTCAACAACAGAAGCCTCAGTAGACAGAATGCTTGTTGCATTTTGAGCTGGAGGTGTGGCTCAATTTCTCTTGAGTGGAAAAACTTGCTCTTCCTCTCTTTTCACATATATAAGTTCACGCCCATTCTCCGAGGGTTGCGTAAAATCATTTTAACTATGCTGACTCAACCTAAACATTAGCAGATTTAGATCACATAATCATTTAATAACTGGTATGTCCTTCCTGATGTGTCTGGTCTCCTTTTAGTGCCATACGATCAACCACCAGCTGTTCCCTACTGGCCCTACTCCACCTCTGACTTCTGGAACTACGTTGAATACTTCAGATCCATCGGCGCCTACAACCACATCAACGAGATGGCCCGGGCCTTCTTCGCCCACCAGCACCTCGGAGACACTCTGGGATACGAGACCAATGAGGGACATGAACACTGAAAGAGGGGATGAAAGGAGCCTGGAGGGCAGGAAGAGGGCAGGGAGGGAGCTGCTGAGATATCCTGAGTAAATAAAATAAAAATGCATTTCTTACTTTGACAGAAAGGAGAAAGATTTTGAGGAAATACATTTAGAAATGAAATGTGAAGAAGAAAAGGCATAGTGTAGCATATACATATATCACTGTTTGAAGTGTATACAAATAGAATACAAATGTAGAGTATGTAGCCCTGTTGTAGGATTGTATATTATCTTCATGTGCCACAAATAAATAAAACATTTTCCAAATATGTCATTTTGTCATTTAAAATGTTTCTCTTTTTCCTTAAATTGTTCTCAATCTCTTATCTCATTTTTTTTAATGAACTGGTTACTGCTATCAATGAATCCTTGTAATTAGAAAATAAATACTAGTGTCTTCTTTACTAAGTCAAAAATTATCCCCATACATTTTTCACCAACTTGAGATAAGTATATAAATGACTCATCTAATTTCACTGTCACTATATCTGCCAATCAAACTGTGACATGGATATTTTTGATTTGTATTTTATTTGTAGTCATGTAAGCTCTTTCCATACAATGAATTATATTATTACCTTGTTAATACACTTAATACACTTTGGCGATATCACAGTATTACCCCTCAGTTAAATAAATAAAATATGTTGCCATTTTTTTTAATTCTAGAAAGAATTCCCTGTGACAGAACTAAAGAGATTTAATTAATTAATTATTATTATTATTATTATTATTATTAATTAAATCTTAATATTGATTAATTTAATGTCACATATAATAATAATAATAATAATAATAATAATAATAATAAATAAGTCATAGTGGTTATTTTATTGAATAATTAGAGCTTTTAATATGTAAAGTATTTTGATGTGCTTTTTAAATAGGATTACATGCAGTACTTTTACGTTACTTTATGTTGAGTAAAAGATCTACTTCATACTTTCACCACTGATATGATGAAATACTCCTATGGTAAATATTAAAAATGTATTTCCTTAATTTCTATGGGGAATATAACATTTTATAAATGTAAATGTTTTGTTTACCAGAAGTAGAAAGCGGACCGACTGACACAAGCTCGTAGAGACAGCCGAGCCCAGTTTAGTGTTGCACACGGTTGTTTTGTTTGTGTTCCGAGAAGCTGAGAAGCTAACCTGGCTAAACAACATCTTTCAAAACTAAATAATTAAATACAAATAGAAATAATGAAGCCCGCTGTGGACGAGATGTTTCCCGAAGGAGCCGGACCGTACGTGGACCTGGACGAGGTGGGTGAAAATAACAACATATGACACTAAATAATGCAGATACAACCGAATCCGTGGTTTTTAAATATCATTTTAACAATAATAACAGTGTGCAGTTCATGTTTATTTTTACTAACATTATAAAACACCAGTTGTCGGTGTGTGTTTCCTAATTTTAACCCTAAATCCAACCTGGGAAACTGTGTGCTTAGCTGCAATGCTTCATACACTAGAACTCCTCACACACCCTGCTTTATTGTAAAGCTTTAATAAGTAATAATCATTTATAAGAGCTTATGTATTTTAAGCTTTGTCCACAGTAAACTGGTATCTAACCCGACTACCTTTCAGTGGTGGAAGCAGTACTTACTAATAGTAAAATACTCTGTAAAAATCCTGCGTAAAGGAAGAACATGTTGTACCGAAAGTAAAGCTGTAATTATTTAATATACTGCTTGTATTTAAGTCTATATTAATATGTCATATTTTAATGATCTGAAGGGAACTAGTACACATGCAGCAGAGTCAAAAGTTAAAGGTTTCCCTCTGAAATGTTGTGAGGTGACATAACTACTAAAGTACTTCTGCATTTTAGAAGAATTACACACCAGCAACTAGTCTTTGAATACAATACAATGAGTTTCATCTCTTTAGAGCACATTATACACACATTAACCAAACACACAACCCCTGTGAATACCAGACAATCTCAGTCAGACACACCTACAATACTCTTGAAAGTAGCAGAGAGAGAGATAAAAGAAGAAATATAAGATTTGCACTCTGTATGATTGGTTGCATTTCACGTGTTTCCTTCTACACTCTCCTGTTACTACATTAATGGCTTGCTGATGCTGTAAGAGCGGTTGTACTGCTGTGTGTTAACAGGCAGGAGGCAGCAGCGGCCTGCTAATGGACCTGGCAGCCAATGAAAAGGCAGTGCACTCAGATTTCTTTAACGGTAAGTCATTAATCTAAAATGATTACATGTACACTTGAGTCAACGTAGCAGCACAATACGGCAGCGGGACGGTGTGCAACGAGGAGGGAGCTTGCAGAGTTGAGCAGAAATGTTCTTTTATTTAAACAGAAGTCTTTTTTTTATTCAGTGTTATAACAAGTTTCGGCAATAAGCTTAAATTCATTTCACAAAAAGCAGCGACACACTAATTTGGCGCTTTTAAGGGTCACATCTGATAAGTATGATGAAGTAAAAGCCCTCTAGTGTTTTTTTTTTACAAATGTGGGGTAACTAAAGCACGTAAACTTAACGTTTCCATCTTTCCTCTTGCTTTATTACGCACATTTGTCAGTACTCGGGGTTTTAGACATGAGTGGCTGCGTTTACATGCACTTCAGTTATCTGAACATCCCCTATTCCACATAAAAGCCTTTAATGATCATGGGATTAACAGAAACCTGGTGAAACACTTGAAACCTGATCATTTGGCCACGTAAAGCGGCCTTTGAAAGTCAAACTGAATAAAACTGGGACATGACTGACCTGTTCAACACATGTACACAGTAAAGTAACAAAAAGCTCTATTAAAAAGTCTTTAAAGTGAGACCATCATATCAGAAGAAAACATCTAGAAATGTTTCTTGTTGAACATATTACCTCAAATAAACTTAACATACTCTATATATTTATTCAGTAATATGAAAGTTTAAAGAGATTATTGCTAAAAAAAACTGCATAGAAGTTTTAGTTTAAGCACAGCTTTTGTCGTAACCACATTGTCTTCTCAAATTAACCCTTAAAAATCCGGTCGTTCCCCTGTAAACACCGGCGTATGTGTGAGCAGGCACGTAGAGGACACTCTGAAAACACTCAGGTAATCTGTTTTCCGTCTTGCAGCGTCGGCCGCAGGCGAAACAATTTTGGCTCAGCAGCACATGACCTGGAAAGAAAAGAGCTGATTGTTAAAAAGAAAGAGGGAAAAGAGGAGGATGGTAAAGTGAGTTTATAGCTGTTGTCAGACAGAAACTCAGTGGGACACCTCGCCAGTCAGCTGCTTTAAACACACACACACACACACACACACACACACACACACACACTCCTTTAGATCACTGGGGTTGTTAACATGTAGAACTGCAGTTCGGTGAATTCTCATGTACGGCACGTCCCGGGTCGTGGCCCCAACGGGGATTTCACTCCCGTAAGGGCCCTTCATACTAATAATGAACGAGGAGGAGTATTGCAATACCACGTTTCTGTTGGAAATACACAGCTAGTAGACACGATTAGACTGACATTAAGTATGTGTCCAATATGATGCAATTTAATGGTTTGTAATGTAATATAATGGGACTCTATACCCTCAGTCTTTTCATACGTGCACATCAAACGTTTAACACTCGAGGCTGATTTAGATAGGTGCTAGGTGCGTGCGCGTTCTCTGAGATTGGGAAGCGACTGATGCAAAACCCATTTGAGTTAATAATGCTGTTTGAGAAACCTCTTTAAACGTACGCACATTCTCAGACAAGTGTTTTCTTTGACACAGACAATGAGGCACGCAGGGGACGCCGCCTCGCTGCATAATATGCTCTTGTCTGTCTCTTCGTATTCCCATGGGGGGACAAAATACTAAATGAGGAAGACCCCAGACAGATAGGAGAGAGATGAGGGAGAGTTTTTCATTTGCAGAGAAACACATTAGCATAAATATAATAAAATATATAACAGTGTAGATCATATGTGTAGGTTAGAATCTACATACAGTGAGAAATCAGCCTTAATGAGACTGTTCTTAACCAAAGGCAGAGGTGAGCGCGGACATGATAAAGAGTTTTGTCTGATTGTAGAACCAAGGCGATCATTTACAACCATTGTTTGATTTCAAAGAGATTAATAGTGCTCCGTAAGCTTAGGCTGAGGTGTTCCTCTCGCCCCGACATGGTCACGACCATGTAACGTTAAGCCCTGTATAAAAGGTCAGCTAAGAAGTGTGCAAGGCAAAAGGAGGCTCCCATTCCCTGGTGGTGGAGTGGGTTGTGTTAAAAGTTGCAAGGGGTTATGGGTAGCCAAGGGGCAAGCTGTTTGACTTGTCCCTTATTAGGGGAAACATAGGAATGTCCTGTGCCTGGAAACCACAGGGACATGAAAGAAAGAGTATCTCAAGCCTGGTGTGCTGAATCAGTTTCAGCCTGGGGACATTTTAGCAGATAATTTTAAATGTATATGAATTAAGTCTACATAAATGACTTCTATATATATCCTACATCTACAGCTGCAAACTGCTTTCAACTCAGTACAGTTTACATCTGCCAGAACTGTGTGTGTGTGTGTG